ACGACTTGCTGCAGACAGACACCTGAATCTCCCCGCGACACCCTAGGGTACAAGCGGAAGAAAAAAGTAAAGTAAAGTAAAGTAAGAGATGGAAAGAGATTTATACTATCAGTAGAGAGGCGGATAGAGAGACAGACAGACAGACAGTGAGGTAAAGGCCAACAGAGACAGAGAGACTTAGAGAAAGTAGAGAGAAAGAGGAGAGAGAGAGAGAGAGAATAAGTGAAACAAAAACATAAAAATGGCCTAATAATATATATAGAAACAGAGAGAGACAATATCAACAAGATGATGCTATAGTTAGATCTATATAGGCCTACTATACATACATTTCCCCCTCCCCCACCTCAACCACGCACATGCAGGTGCGCTCTCTCCCCCCTCCCCCCCCCCCTCTCTCTCTCTTTCACACACACCAAGGAGTTTACAGTAAGTTCTAAACTCCTTGACACACACACACACACACACACACACACACACACACACGCACACACACACTGTGACACTCATCAAGGTCCAGTTACTTCCGGCAACATAATAATGATTGTCCAGATTTAGCAAAAATATTACTTTTTGGCTTTTGTTCTGTCTTGTAGACCTAACGAGTTTGTGACATCCTGTAACATGTTTTCACTGCTTTTTTATTCTTCATTTGCAAGATTTGAAAGAGTAATAATCTGAATACGACTTAAAAGTAATCACTCCCTTTTGTTTGATATGAAAAGAGTATGAAAAGACACACTAAGTGAATGCGTTTTGCAATCTTTCGTACACAATCTGGACAGAGCTACATTTGTCTGGCACCACTCTCAGGCAGCCTCTCAGTGAATTACGTTGATACTCGCCATCTGGAAAGGAACAGTTGTGTATCGAAACATTTCACTTTTGCGAGGCATCAGTAACCAGACAGTGTTCGGAAAATGACGAAAGGCAGGATGGACACAGCCCTGCAGACGGCCCCAGTCGTCACCTGCATGAAAACATTGATGATGGTGTTTAATTTCATTTTCTGGGTAAGAATAGTGAAAGTAAATTTAATGGGCTCGTTCGTTCGATAAATTCTATTGTTCCTTTTTTATCCCTCTACTTAGATCTAGAGATCTAATCTAGATCCTAGATCTAGATTAGATTCTAGATCTAGATTCTGGACTAGAAATCTAGATCTAGAATCTAGATCTAGATCTAGATCAGTGCTCTTGTGTTGAAAGCATGTAAGGGGGCAGTGAGAGAGAGAGAGGGGGGGGGTGGCGGTGGGGTGGAGAGGTGAGAAAGAGAGAGAGAGAGAACAGATGGCGTTGCGATAACTTCCTGGCTAAACAAACTGATGACCAGCATAGTTCGGTTCAATTCGAAAAGTGAAATGATCGTAGCATGACCAAATTAGAGTCTAGAATCTAGTTTACTTATTGTGCTACCGTTTTTATTGTCAATTTGACCATCCACACCGATAGACAGACTTAGTATTCAGAAATTAGGAAAACAGGTCTTGTCTTGTTTCACACCAGGTGAGAATAGCCAACGCTGGCAAGTCTCACCCAGGGTGAGAGGTTTCACGTAATTTTATTCTCACCCGGGGTGAGAATAGAGCCACTTCCAATATCGATACTGATTTAAATAGAATCTAGTCGGTATTGATGTTTTATCGCTGTAACCTACAATTTAAAATGAAAATTGAGCAGTAAAATTTTACTAAAATTTTTAAGGCAAGGGGGGTTTCAAGGGGACCTGACCTAACCAAAGGCTACCTCTATTCTCACCCGCGGTGAGAATAAAATAGCTGCCACTTTCCCGCTAAATAGCGGAAACTCCGCTTCATCTAGCTTTTCCCGCTACTTTCTTCCTTCCTCCACTGGACCGCTCTTGGTTGCAAATTGCGACACTTTTTTTTTAACAAGCGGAAAACACTGAACCGGGAGAGAGACGAAAAATGCGGCTTGCGCATGTCATGTCCGCCCGTAGCTTTAGACTTCAGTTCTTCTCTGCCTCGCGCTAGTTTCACATTGTTTATTGCTGTGGAGCAACAGAGTGGCGATTGAGCATCGGGACGTTGGCGCGCCGAGTTGTCATTGAAAACGGCGGAAATTCGAGAGAAATTGATGCAGAATGCAAAAATTTTAAAAAAGGAGCTGGAATGAGAAAGAAGCAGCCATTGTGCTATACTTGAAAAGTTCATTAGAAAATTGAACAAGCCGCTTGCTGCACTTTGCGTTTGGTGCGATTCGTGGCACTCACAATTGCGGTCCCATTTGTTTGCATGACGGCTTTTGTGGCTGTGGAAGTGAATCTAGATATTAGATAGCCTAGAGAGATTATTTATCTCTAGAGATATAATGTATGTATATAGACTAGATTAGATAGCCTAGGCTGTAATTTTAATTCAGTTTAGATCTAAATAAGAAACACACAACAGGGGCACTAAGTACAAACGGGACCGCAATTGTACAGGAGTGCCGAAATCGCTCAGTACAGCGGCAAAGGTGTTGCCTCCTTGATCCAATACTGCTCTACATCGATGTACAAGTTTAAGGTGAAAGAAATCTTTTTATGAGACACCAGCTGGCAACAATCACTGGATTTTTAGTCACCAAACTAAGACTACTGTGTCAAATGCTTGTTAGTCAACTTAGTGCCTTGTTTTTTTTTTTCAAATACATTTTAATTCAGTAGCCTATGGTTAATAAATATGACAGTTTTTTCCTTTCCAAAACCATAGGCTAAATTTTCCAGTAGCCATATTGCCTCTGGATCTCACTGGTTTTACTACGGCCTTCGGAGAGCGCGCGTACGCCTTCGAAATTCCTGAGTGGCAGCTGTGGAATGGTGCAGTTGTAGGCCTCTCACACGGGGTGAGAGGGTGAGCCTTTTTGGCTATTGTCACCCGGTGTGCGTTCACCGTGATACGTAATAGAAAGCCTACCAGTGTAAACAAACGTTCCAGCACTCTTGTGTTGAAAGCGTGCAATTTTGTCTGTAGGCGGTGAGAGAGAGAGAGGGGCGTGGGACGAGGGGGGAGAAAAAGAAAGGGAGAGAGAGAGGAGGAAAAGGCTTGCAAGAACTTTCGGGCAAAACGAAATGACGACCGGTGTAGTTCGGCTCGATTCCAAAAGTAAAATAGCCGTAGCATTTTTGTAGACAACTAAATTAGTTTACTTTTGTGCTATAACATTTTCTTTGTTTTTGTCATTTTGATCATCTTCACCGATAGAAAGTATTCAGAAATTAGGAAAAACAGGTTTTGTTTCATGCCGGGTGAGAGTAGTTCTGAATAGCCTAGGCTGGCAAGTTTAACCCGGGGTGAGAGGTTGATCGTATTTTTGGTGAGAATAGCCTCTTCCCTAACGAAAACATGGGGGGTTTCAGGGGCCGGGGGGGCATGCCCCCCTGAATTTGACCATAATTTGATGTTTTGCAGTTATAGGCAATCTCTCCATATCCAGCATGTGCATCAAAAAGTAATCGTTTAGAACCAGAAGTAATCGTCGGTGGGGTCAACACTAGTGTCCCCAAATGGGACCCACATTTTTAAGTGGTAACCTCAACTCCCTCCCTTTCAACCTTCATCAGCCAAGTCCAAATGGCTCTTAGACCAACTCTGATTCTGTCACTAAATAGGCGATTACTGAAAAGCCCAAGTCATTATGGCGGATTTCACGGTGAGGACCCACATGTTTCCCACTTTCCCAGTTTTTTTCAGGATTTTGAACTTTTTCGAAGGGTTATTATGTATTTTATATCAATGGACAGGTCTTTCAAAGAGGAATTTTACAATTTTAGTTTGAGAGACAGCAAAGGCTTGTGAAAAAAGTTATTTAATAAAATGTAACCTTACCTTGGTGCGAACAGTACTATCCTTGAGTATCACCAAATTCAGTATGATAATCCATTTAATTGAATTCACTGGCCACAAAAATCATATATATACGCAATAAATGAAAATAATAAAAATAAACAAAAAACAATGAAAAAGGGAATAACTGAAAGAAAAAGAAAACAGTTGAAAAAATGGCTCAGAACGTCGGAACAGCCTATAAGACCACGAAATCATCATCGGCAATGATCTGGACGTCTCAAAGCTTTATTGGCATCAAACAAGACAATCAAAAAAGAGAATGTGCTATTTTTGTCCCTAGCGTCATTTGTTTATTTCCTACATGTGC